TGTCATCGGATTGCTTAATTACCTCACTCACGCCTGCTTTCCTTGGACCTGTACTCTTAATTAATCGGAAAGGATTGCGATTATTACCGATCGCCGCAGTCTTTTCTACCTCTCTACACTTTCCTACCCACCACTTCTCGCGGTCATTCCTCAGACTCTTTATAAGCTAGCGTTTAAGTGCTTCGCGCTTTGTCTATTTCGAATCCGAAGGAATGGTTTTGCGAGCGGCCAGCAGGGCAACCGAAATCGGGGAGATGCATCTTTTTTTATTTGATCGTGTGCTAGAATCTTGTTGTCTCGATCGACTTTTGGATCGTTTGCTTGATTGTTGTCCAGTGCTCACTGAGTCCTCCGACAGATGGTTGAGCTGAGAGACGATCCGACAGTTCCGCTTCGATTTGCAACCATTGTATCTTGGATATGCCTTTTTGGTGGCTTTTCTGTGGTTGTTGACTGGGCGTAGGGAGAATCTCGCTCGTAGCAGAGCATGGTTCGTGTTCACGAGTGTTGACCAGTAGGAGCTGCAGCCTTCAATGGATCTTCGCCAGTGGTGGCTGATCGCGATGTGGTCGATTTGAGTCCAGTGCAGTGAAGAAGTTGGCGGTCTCTATGTAAGGCGGTGCCGTTTTTCGTGCGAGAAATTCGTGTTCGACAGAAACAGTCCGTGGTTAGCATAGAGTTGGTGTAGGCGTTCTCCGTTGTCAGTCCTTTTTTCTAGGGTTGCATGTGAACCTCTAAGTAGCCTCTCTGATTCATCCAGGGATCCCACTTAAGCACTAAAGTCTCCGGCGACCACCACATTATCCGTTGATCGAGCACTTTGGATCAGTTGAGAGAGGTCCTTGTGAAATTCATCTTTCATTTCTGGTGAACTGCAATCTGTCGGTGCATACGCGGATACGACAAATAAGCATCGATGCTTTGTTCTGCAGCGGTTGACCCGTACTGAACCATCCAGACGTACGGCGCAAAGTCGGTTATTGATCGAGAAGTGAACACTCGGCCTTGACACTCAGCGCAATCCTAACACCAGCAACATCGCGAGCTTCGGATGCCGAATTGCCTGACACAGGGAGTGAAGCGTGAGAATGAGGTTGGATCTGGAGAACGCAAATAGATGATTGAAGTAGGGTCTTGTATACGTGTTTCGGACACCTAAATGGAAGTTTTCAAGGGTTCTAGCTAAGGCAACCTGTTGATCGATCTGGTCGTGTGAACATTAAATGCGGCTGTGGAAAGGAGATTTTGTTTTCAAAAACCGGATAGCCTCTGAGTGGTTGGTTGGAATGAATGGCGCAAACAGGTCCTCGTGACTATGGGGCTTTCCCCGTCTGCTGTTCAGCACACGAAGGAGTGTAATATTAAAAAAAAAACAGAACTGGTAAATGTGTCGCAACATGTGAACAAAAATCTGTAGAATGTGTTCATAGATTGTGCGGACATGTTACTTCCCGGTTTCCCTGGCCCAGGAAGGGGAAGTACCTCGGGGTTCCCATCAGAAGCCTTTTGGCTAGAAAGCCAGACCTGTAAGACAATAGGATGAAGCTCACTCTACAGTCCGTTCGGGGCCGGTGTCCAGTTCATTGGATCATACGCAGTTTGGACGGAGTCAAACGTCCAAGTTGCTCAGTACACCGTCAGTGTGGACTACCGTGGAGTGTCGTGACCCTCCCACCCCCCACCCCATGCCTTATGTACCTATTTGGAAAATCCGCCTTCTCATCTGTCTTCCTCTCAATTCCAATTCTTAGGAGATCCATCCTGTTTGCGCCACCCATGGAATACCACTTAACGTTCAACTAATGAGGTCAACCAACCAGAAGCTATCGGAGTTTTGAAACCAAAGTTCGCTTCTCACTTAGCCGTATGCATTGTCCGAATACTCTATCTGATCGGTCAACATGCTGCCTTAGCTCGAAACTTTGCTGCCCCTGAAACACGCTTCCAATACCTTACTTCAATCATCCCTTTGCGACCTTTAGATCCGAACTCATCCTCACGCTTCACTTCCATTCGGCATCTAAAGTATTAAGGTCGGGAGTTAACTTCTTGATTGGATCCCGGTTAGTAGCCGACTTTGCGCTGTATCTGGAATTTCAATACGGGTCAACAGCTAAAGAACAAAGCATCGATGCTTATTGGTTGTAACCGTGTGTGCAGTGACTGCTTGATGTTCGCCAGAAATGAAGGATGGATTCTACAAGGACCTCTCTTAACCGCTCCAAAGTGCTCGGTCAACGGACGTCGTGGTGGTCACGGGTGACTTCAATACTCAAGTAGGATCCCTATATATATATATATATATATATATATATATATATATATATATATATATATATATATATATATATA